ATGTGAAGTTCTGCCGGGGTGCGGGGCAGAATTATCCCGTTTTGTTGTCATGGCCGGGCCATACAGCTGCCCTCATTTGAGTGGTGAGGTCCCGCGCAATTTGAGCACTTTGACACCTTTGCCTGGCACTCTGATGTCTCATGGGTTCCCCCACATCTCCCACATCTTTGGCTCCGAGTACAGGAACGCGTTGTGTGGAATCCCCAGCAACGTTGGCATTGCTCGATTGGTCTTCGGCGCGAGAAGGGAATTGCTGGTCCACTCTCGCCAAAGAGACAAAACTTTGTGTTTGCTGGCTTTTGTTGGAAATGAACAATCCAGCTCGTCGAGTATTGCCCAAGCTTTGTTTCTGTGGGCCTTACCTGGATTGGTGTGGCGCCGCATACAGCCTAGCACTCGTTCTTCACCATATCGTTGGTTACTGGAATACTACCTTCAAACGTCCTAATGTACAATGGCACATGAGGTACGATCAATGATGTCCATTTGGACGCTTCCTCAATCACGGTGTCGTCTTCCTGTATGGAAGGCGCAATCCTCATGATTGTATCTCTCAATGCATCTGATGCGCATTCGAGAGCGATCCCCGACCTGACTGGGTACATGGAGGTGATAGCTGAGGCTGCTATCCCAGCCTTGTCGGTTCTAATTTTCTTGATCGTAACTGGCGAGAGCTTGTGCCAGTGGTGATCTCTCCCCAATCGAAGGAACAGGCGTTTGTCCTCCTTTTAGGTTGTCTGTGGTTTTGGGTGGCTTGATGGAGCAGGCCTTCGCGGAACTTGCACATTTGGTGATGTCGGTAACTTGGCCACTTTACGGGCTACTGTCACCCAGGGCGAGCTGGTGTCTTGAGGCTTTGGGGGTAGAGCGTGGCTGTGATCCTCAACAGCTGTATTTTTCCTAGGCGCGACTAGTTCTGGAGTGCTTGCCATGGTGGGGGGCTTCTTACTTGGAAAGTTAGATGCTTCTACCTGATCTACTGCGAAGGCAGTGATAACAGGCGTGATTTATTCCAGCAGAGTCGCGACAACTGCTGCTGCTTGTTTCTCTCCTTTGCTCTTAGCCCAGGAGTCGATTAGTTCTAGAAATTCCTGGGCTATATCCAGTCTTTCTTTCCGTTGTTGTTCTGCTTTGTGCATTGTATTCACAATGCCAAGCAGGCTTGGGTGAAGTTGCCCTCCTGGATTGGAGGGCGTTGTCGATGACGATACAACAGCTGGGGCCATTGCAACGATTGAAGATTCTTGTAAATAAGGGTAATGGGTGATGCGATGTGTTAGGTGTCGATAATGGGTATCTAGATGGCAGTGTTTGTGTTAGCTAGATGTTTGTGGTGTCGCATAGAGCTTAGATAGAAAAAGTAAATGATACACGGCTCAATTTAAATATAGAGCTCTCGTGCCTTAGGTTTCATTTGCAAGTATCACTCCGAAGTTATAGCGGCTTTTTATCAAATGACTTAGAATGGGCTTGGTAGCATTACTAGTCAGTGGAAATAATTTTCTGTTCGTGTTTCTTCTTGTTCTACTTGCTTTCTATGTATATAATTAGGGTAAGACACTCGATATCAATTTAAAAGTATTGAAAACAAAGAACGTATAAAGGCTCAGAGCAGCACTGCCGCACAAGTAAGAAGCGAGAGCATCTGATTCTTTTTTTAATTGATAGACTTTTAATCACGAAAATAGGAAGTGGCAGAAAGACAGCTCTAATCTAGAGATGAAAGTAGTGAACTGGCTATCAGAAGGGAGAACCTAGAGGCGGGCAGGGACTATACACTAACGTGTACGTGCACATACCACATGTACCCACGCAATCGTCTTTTTTTTAATCATTTAATGTGTATTCAGTTATAGAGCTATGACACATGACCGGTACTATGTATACATGTTGGATGACTCTTTTGACGTTAGAGACACTCATACTCTGGATTTCATTCGCAAATACCACTATGAGGTATGCTTGCTTACACAAACAGTCGACCCTCCTCCGTTAGTACCTACCAAGGGGAATTTCAAAACCTTTGATTATCCAAGCATGCCTTCATCATCCATGCATACCAGCGCTGCGAGAAATGTGATTGTGTTTTGCCGGATTTGAACCAGCGATCTACTGTCTCGAGTGAGATATGTGTCCAAGCTATCCAGACTCTACTTGTTAGACCGGCCAAGACGATGTACCACCGCACCATCCAACCATGACGATGTTTATAGTGTTGCCCGCACTCGGCTTCTTCATATCTAACCTAGAAAATTTGATAGACACCAGCATGAGTCCATAGGGTTTATATTGGGTCATGTCGGTCGTTAATATACACGCGTAAGCGTATGTAATGGGTTTCTCTCTGATGTGGTGATTCTTGTTCTTCTTAGATACAGGCGTGTCAGCCTTAACTCCCTTTGGTGGGTACAAACGGAGGAGGGTCGACTGTTTGTGTAAGCAAGCATACCTCATGGTGGTATTTGCGAATGAAATCCAGAGTATGAGTGTCTCTAACGTCAAAAGAGTCATCCCACATGTATACATAGTACCGGTCATGTGTCATATCTAGATAGCTGAATACACATCAAATGGTTTAAAAAAATTTAAAAATTGTGAGCCTTAAGGGCGACACGCCAAGCTGCACCAATCCACGTGTCTAACTAACGATTGACATACAGGTGAGGATCCAAGATTGACAGACCTCTAGATTAGTACGAGGCTCTAATAAATTGTAATGCTTATGTAATGTTGTTCATGTTGGAGTCCGGGCGCAAGATTAGGAATACTGTACTTATATAGACGATACCCTGTATTAATAGAAAACCAAGTTACATCTAGTCTTAAGCTCTACTATACATATTAGTAGATTGGAGCCACGAGACACCCGTAACCTACGCCATCTTAAAGCTAAGCTTATCTCGCTTTTCACACATACTAATCCATCAGGAACCTCACAGGTATCTCTGTCTACAGACTCATGTACATCCCAAAATAGTGTTGTGACAGATCATCTATTATATACTTTTCTTTGATATTTTGTCATAGCTAGATAGCTGCAAACGTAATTAAAATATGATGCAAACAAAAAAAAGGGCCCATAGAGTGCCAAATCAGGATAATGAAATCAAAAAATTATACATCAAAATAATTGTTTATTAACTTTTGGATAGCTTTTAGTAGTCCTCCATAGTCGAACACTTAGTAAGGACTTTAATTCAATCCTATTCTATTTAAAAGTTACATTTATATCCATAAACGCACCAACATATTAAGCCACTTACACCACATTTTCTCTTACTTACTTCCCAACAGCCATTACCCATAGGCGAATAGCACCAACTTCAAGATCCATATATTCAATTCTTTACACGTTTTCTTCAACCCAAGTCAGCTCTCATCCGTGAATACCCACCCAGGGGAACGCCTCAAAAACCAAGAGTTATTCATAGATGCTTCCATATCCATTGACTTATCTCCGCGTGAATTTTAGTCTTAGGCGTCTCCTTTCCAAGTGGAGTAGGTGCCTAGGCTACTCAAACTAAACCACAGAACACCAGCAGGAGGTGTACTACGGTACCTTTCATCGTTGGCTTGTGTTTATAATATCAGCTGATCCCTAGTAATCGAATGTCTGGCACGCACAATGCTCTTCTATGTTTAATCTCCTAGTCAAAATTTCGAAATCTCACACCGGCCGAGATTGTACACTTTGCACCATCTTGTAAGCTCTTCCGGGTTTCTCTCTCGCCCATCCTAGAGAACTTCCAAATTTGTGCACCACGAATTTTCACCTCCTGCGGGTATTCGTATTATTGTAGGCGTATAATTAGTGACCGGCTGAAGCCTGAGAATAGTCGATGAGTGGTGTGGTCATTGACATGAGGATGTACTAAGTCGTACCTATGAATTTGAGGTGTTAATGGGGATTGATCTCGTTGGGAGCGAAATATTGATTTTGTAGAGTATTTTGAATAATTACCTCGCGGACCAACTTTTTTATCCTTGGAAATTTTGACTGAGCTTAGTTCCAGGGGAATATTTTACTGCGAGGTTCGTTGAGGACCCCGGATACAGGTCTTCAGTCTTTGTCCTCCTATGATATAAGTCGGTTAGTAGCCCAACATACTAGATAGTCACAGACTCACTTATCACAATAGATACATATACACTCACAGTTTCTCTGATGAAGCCGTCACCCTTACAGTTAAAGTTCTAGTCTATGAGCACAGTTTGTGTTAGTTTATTTTAAAATTTCATTATATCAATACGCGTGAATCCAGCTATCTAGCTGTGACAAATAATCGCTGCTTTGTGTATATTTTGGACGACTATTGACACTTGGGATACCCTTGCTCTGGATTTCATTCGCACATACCACTACAAGGTATATTTGCTCGAACAAACAGTTGGCCCTCCTTCGTTGGTACCCGACAAAGTAAATTTTCAACATGTATGATTATCTAAGCACACTAGGGCTGCGAGATGTTGTGTTTTGCTAGATTCGAACCAGCCATTTCCTGTATGAAATAGTATTTGTATCCAAGTTAACTAGTATCTACCAAAGATAATGACTAAGATCATATGCCACCGCACCATCCAACCATAGCAGAATTTATAGTGTCACATGCACTAGTTTCTGTGCTCGTAGAGAGCAGAATATTAAGCATATGGACATCTGTTTTGACGTAGGCTGTAAGTCAAACTTGAATTAGATGATAGATGGTTAGCGATGGAAAGAGAGACTAAGACCTACCCGACTAGTTCCAAATGTTGAGAAATTATATCTCCCTCGCATATTGTTGTAGAGCGCATTCATTCTACGTTATGACCAAGGCGTAATCAAGTCAATAACTGCTGAGCATACGTCGCGATGACGTTAGAGTTTGCTTGACAACCATCAAATCATCCAAATTTTTGTCGCACCAGTACCATCCATATTATGAGCCTTGACGCACTGGATAGTTCTTATACTTTTCACAATGACATTCGTCGGTACTTATTGATTCTGTTTTTTAATTTTACTTGTCCATTCCCATTTCTCCGCTGATCATCTTTCGTAACTCGTATTCTTTTGTAAATTCTCTGCTCATGATCTGAAGATCATTTACGAGTGCCTTGCAGCATCCTACAACAGCGTCTTTTGGGCTTATTTCACCATCTGTTTGTACACGAAGCTCAAAGGTTGCAAAAAGTGGGTGCGGGGCTGCACGAGGTTATCAGTCTTTATCTCGTTGCTTAGTCTATAATGTGATGGTGTTGCCTTACTTTTATACCCGGCAAACAGAACATGGGGGTCTTTGAGAAGATGGGCGCGAAGAATATTCGCGATTGTGTGATCTTCTTTATTTACTGTAAATACTGAAGAGTTGGGCGTACCTTGAAAAAGTCAGTATCCAAGTTAGTGTAGATGTAGAGCACCCATCTATTTTCTGGGCAGGTCCTGCTCTACGACTTACGTGTATCAGCAGCTTCTGAACACTTTTTTTCACCGTCTGCTAGCAAGAATAACTCGAATCTAGATAGTGAGTTGATGTTTTGCTTGTCATGTAAAAATTTTATAGGAATTCACGTACCTATCTGGCGCGTTCATATTTGCTTTGATTACCTACGAGGTCAAGATTTTGAAGGGAAGGCCCTAAACGAGAGATTTTACAAGAATCAGAAATAGTTGGCGTGAGTAGGCAGTTATACACATTAACGTGATGCTTAAAGTCTTGCCTGTCCAGTGCACGTGATATTTGTCACATGTTCGACAGCCTAATCCTCATTCAACCACCTTACGCTTTTTTTTCATACAGTGTCGCTGGTCTCCTGTTCCATTCTCTTACTTATCCTTTAAAACTGCTTAGAGTCTTGTGAAAGATGATTTAACTCTTGCTACGGAAAATTACTGGAATGAGCAAGCTCCAGACTCATTTATACGACTCGGCACGAACTCCTGCACCTTCCACCTGAAGAAGCTCTTACTTAAGAGAGATTTCATTTGAAGACTTTACGTTGCCCGTTCGGGACATGGCGATTTCTCAATGAACTATTCTTAGTCTAGCTATCCAGATGCACGCGTATCTTGCAACTGAAGCCTAACCAAGGCGCCTGACCATTTCCCGGAATGTACTATGCCCAACCGAAGTCTTCCCCCGGGTTCAGATTATTTTAGTAATCCGACAAAACTAATTTAAGGACCCTGCGAGGCAATGAGACTTGTCAAATTTTTATGATCAGACGGAATTCTAGTCAACAATCTACCCTAGAAATGCATATTGAATAACTCTAAGTAATAGGAGAATTATTGTTGAATAGTAACATAAACGTAGTCGAGATCCTAAATACACGACTGAGATTAGGAGAATTTACTTGAGTAAGAAACTATTCTAATAGATTTAGGTCTAGAGGAATATAATCTAGTTACTTGACCCTTGAAGTACATGAACCTGATCACGTCAAGTAAAATAGGATATCTACTTTAATCCTAATCATCATCAAATTTCGTGTCACCACACAGAACGTGAAGGGATAATGTCACAATTTCCTTTTAGATCTTGTCTCATCTTAAACCACTACTACGCTCCGACGTCGTTAAACTGTCTATGTAATGAATTCGCTTAAATTGAAAAGAAGGATTCTACAAACACCGATCTATAATTTAGATTAAAACATTTTGGCTACACTTACTCAGTTTGGATAAGTGTCCCAAGTCCCAAGCCCCAATACTTAAAGATGTGTCTGAATAATTCATCCAGCTATATTTATTTGGAGTCAGTGGTTCCTGCATTGGGTTGACTTCTTAATATGTGGTTTCTTACGTTTCAATAAAGCACAATTCAAATTTATGATGGCAATTCTATAGCGCCAAAATAAAATATACGAATAAGTTATGATCAATCATTACTTCTGAACAATAGTTCTAACTACTTACAAGAGTACTCATAACATTGAGTGAACTATTAAACTTTTAGTGCATGGCCTTTGCCAAACCAACAGATGAAATCCTTAGATGGAGTGATTTATCAATAGTATTACAATTCATTCAATAGTATTAATATTTCCCATGCAATTTATATTAACATGCCTCTTGCGCCAGTCGTATAAATTCCATGGTGAAAACTCCTTAACTATAATTAAGTATCTGATACTTTCCTTGGAGTAGGTAATGTATTAGCAACGTCCTAAATGTGGCAATGTTAATTTATTCACATTGGGATTGATTGGTGAATTTCTTCGACTGTTTTTCTCGAGTCGATGAAAAGTCATAAGATAGAAAACTGGTCGTTGGAGGCAAGCAATTTCATGTGATACAGATCCTTCTGAATAAGAGAGATTACAGTGAAAGCGTGCCAACACGAAACATATCTCAAAAATCACCTTGCCTTAGTACTTCATGAGAGATTTAGGCTGTGAAAGGTTTAACTGTTTACCAATTCCTGGAATGTTAAAGGATTATCACACACGATATTCCAGTCAGAAAATACTGAAGTCTAACAACGGCGAGTGCGAATCTAAAGTAGAATAGGTCGGGTTATAAAAATTCATTCGCTATCGGTCAATTCCTCGGTACTTATCTCGTCATGTACGCCGAGTGCAGTTATATTATCCTCGGCTGGATTAGTGCCATTATATGGAAGCATTGTAAAAGCAGCGAGGCATGTTATTCGTTGACTGGTTTCATAAGTTCCAAGCAGGGTACCGACTTGTCTTGGACCGTCGGCATCTTCTGAAAAGTCTGATGTTTGAACCTGCCAGAGTCTTAATGCTCCATCACTACCAGCAGTCACTATGACACAAAATCTAGGTGATTCGTGTTCCGGCCACAAGCAAAAAAAGTCTTTTATACGTCCTGACAAGTCGACTGCCTTACCACCAAGCTGAGCAAGGGGTTTTGCCGATGGGATAGCGCTTTTGCTGTCTTTGGCCAATTCTTGTAGATCGGCTGGCTTCGTGGAATAAAACAATACCCTTCCATCTTCTGTAGAAACTGCCAGTAACATATCATCTCCCTTAACCCGCACGTAACTAAACTGATGAAGTTTAGTCCGCGGTTCAGGGAAAACCTTACATCTAGGCTTACTATTCATACCATAGATTAAGAGTCCGCGCTCGAACCCGACACAAAATTCGTCGCCCGCATTAGTTGTCCCCCACACCACCCTTCTCCCTTCTCCCAGTGAATGTCTTTCTTCTCCTACTTGTACTAGGTGATCTCGATCAAACTTCAGAGCCCCAGCTTTCTTTCCAGTTACCAGATTCCATAATCGTAAACATTTTTCTCCTTTGCCAACAGATAGCATGACCTTCATACTTGGATGAACAGCGAAGTCATTGACTCCACTAGGGGCGCCTCCAGTAGGCGCTGTATCTCCGCTAGGTCTTCCAATTTGCTTGGGTGCAGGAGACTTAATCGAGGATAATAGGCTCCAGTCGCGCGTACGAATCACGGCGATCTGGCGATCTTCTGCCGCACTCAAGAGCTTACTGCGATTAGGAAAACACAGTTTTGTTACAGCGCTTGAGTGATGGAGGAGGGAGCCTAATTCACGATTAAGTGGATTTTCTGCAACGCGTGGTGCTAAGATAGTTGAAGGTTTTGTAGAGGGTTTAGGCGCATGTGCTGATAAATGATATAGATTGATACGTTCATCAGTACCACCGCTAGCGAGGAGAACTTTTTGGGCCTGTTGGGTTGCCCCGACAGTGGGGGGTGATACGGCCAGGCATCGAATTGCCGCTGTGTGAGCGTGGAATAAAAATGTGTCGACAAAATCAACTTTGGAGCCAGTAACTGTTGCCATGACGCCATGAAGTATTTTTTCATATGATCCTGTTATAAGCTGGAAGATAATAGGCTGTTCATGAGATTCTAAATCAGATACTGCTATCGCGGCATCATGCTTGCGAATTGGGTCAATTAGTGGCTTGCTCTTTTTGGAACTATTGTCGGAAGGTACGACGGTGGAGTTACTATTTATTTGGTTTCGTTTCCGCTTTGCCATAATTTTTGGATATGTTGTATTTCGCGTTCTTTATATTTTGACTCTAAGACAAGGCATCTTTACGGAAATTTTCCAGCATGTTGTCATGATAGGCTAGACCGTTTATTGAAATGACGTAATCACTGCCATTTTTGAATACAGAACGCACTCCCCCAAAAATCCCTGAACTGAAGAACACATTACATTAGACACCCACAACTAAGCTCTAAGGAGGACGAAGGCTGAACACCTGTCAGTGGTGTCCTCTACGAACTTGGGAGTGAAATATTCTCCCAGAGCCGAGAATCAGTCACGAAAAAGGGTGGGATGAATTTTATTTGATGGACTGTCGACTTGAAGGAGTTGCACTCGATATTTTGGTCGAAAAATCAGTCGGCAAAGATTTCACAGCCAGAACAAAGTCGAACAAAAACTCATCACCACCAAAATACGATTCACGAATGGGCCTAGGTCTATCTGAGAGTTGTATTCAAACATCAGACATCTCTCAAATTCCTTATATATTTGCGACGACCCATATCTCAGCCGATCTCACACCTGCGACCCACCTCTATACTCGTCACGTCACCTAACTACACACGTCTTAATGAGGAAAGTCATGATGGAAAAAGGACATGTGCAAAGGAGGAACAAAAGGGAAGATACACCGAGGGGATTACACAAATCCCCAATGACGACAACAACCCGACGGCACGATATGAAGGTGCAAGGCTAGAGCTAGGATGAAATCTTGGACGACATTTATATTTCGGAGTCAATGAGTATGTCAAGGGCTCGGGCGCGTGGTGGCCGAGGCTGAGGAGGAATATGCGCTTGGGCGCGTCAAAAGAGGGTTCTCTGGACGGTTTGGCTTGACATGATTCAACACATGGGTGAAGTCTGAGGTGGTCCGGTCATTTAGGTGGGACGAGGTAGATGTACTTAATGGTAGTTAACCTGATCCAGGCCGGCCCCACCCGTGCTTAAGCTCCAGTAGGAGTGCAACGGGAATCACTTTACCTAGCACGTAAATGAACAAAACAAAAAACTAAGTTCTAAATTTAAGATAAAATTGATAATTTATAGTTTATGCTTACATGCCTACAATTTTTATGGAAACAGGCCTGGCCAAAGAAGAATTCCTCACCTTACAGCGGTGCTGGTATAACCGACCAGAATGCGGTGCCTATCTAGAATAGCCAGGAAGAATGGCATGCGAATCGAAGTTGAAAGCAAGCTCGAGCATATCTAAAATCGATGACTGCTTATCAACGCTGGATATATCAACATTAACATTAACATCAAAATCACAAACTCAACAAGCTACATGTTTTTCCCCGACCCATCCCATTACATATTACTCATTGCCCTTCGTACAAAAACTTTCATCTGGTGCAATGGCCCCAGCTGTTGCATTTTCATTGTCAACGCCCTCTAATCCAGGAGGGTAACTTCACCATGCCTGCTCGGTATTGTAAATTTAACGCAAGAAGTAGCTAATGAAATGAAAGGAGAATTGGGCTTGGCCCATGAATTTCTAGAATTAATTGACTCCTGAGCTAGGATCAAAGAAGAGAAACAAGCTGCAGTAGTCGACGCGAATCTGATGGAAATGATCACGTTTATTGTTACTACCTTTGCATTAGATCAGGCAGAAACACAAAATTTTGCAAGTAAGAAGTTTCCCCCTCCATGGTCAGCACTACGAAACCAGCCGTGCCTGGGAATAATATAGCTGTTAAGAATCATAGTAACTGCCTATTATTTGAACCTCAAGACACTAGCTAACCTTGGGATACATTAGCTCGCAAAGCGGCCAAGCTTCTAAATGCGCTCAGTATGCAAGTTGCGAAAGGACTGCTCCAACAAGCCGCCCGAAGGCACAGACAACCCAAAAGAAAGACGAACACCTGCTCCTTCGACTGGTTAGAGATCACCACTGGCACAAGCTATCATCAGTCACGATCAAGAATATCATAACTGACAAAGCTAGGATGGCAACCTCAGCTATTACATCTCTATACACAGGCAGGTCTGGGATCGCTCTTAAATGCGATTCAGATGCATTGAGAGACACAAACATCAAAATTGCACCCTTCCTTTCGGAAGACAACACTGTGATTGAAGCGGCATCACAATGCACATCTATAATAGTATCACATGTGCTATTGTACATCATGACGCTTGAGGGTATCATTATATTCAACAACGAAATGGTGAAGAACAAACGCCAAGCTGTATAAGGCACCATATTAATCTAGGTACAGCCCACAGAAACAAAACTTGGACAATATTCAACGAGCTAGATTTTTTATTTCCAAAAAAACCAGCAAATATGAAGATTCGTCTTTCATGAGAGCGGGCCAGCAATTCTCTTCTCACGCCGACGACTGATCGAGCAATGCCAACGTTGCTCGGGATTCTACACAATGCGTTCCTGCACCAGAAGTTAAAGATGTGGGGAAAACCATGCGTCATCAAAGTACCAGGCCAAGGTAGTAGATTGCTCCAATTACCCGGGACCATACCACTCTCATGAGAGTGACTGCATGGCCCGGCCAAGAAGACAAATCGAAATAATTCTGCCTTGTACCCTTACAGAATAACACATCATCAGAGGACGCGAACATCTTGACTATCATGCTGCTCTACTCCGAAAGGATGGGTAAAGCGGTTGAAATTGTCATTACTGTGGAATCAACAATGCAGCGTAAATGTTGGGAAATATTTCAACAAATTATCACACCCTTTCATCCAGTGAATATCGCAATAGTTGGGGAAAATGTTAAAATATCGTTGTAGCAGACATGGGAGGCCGGCGTACACATAGTCCTGGTACAGCAGCCATTGATTAGGAAGAAAGAGGGTAGTTTATCTTAAAAAGTAACCCTATCTTCAACAGTCATATACCATTCGTAGGAATAGATGTCCAACATCGTATGGTCACCTTTACACTTAAAGGCATTCATGTGACAAAAATTTTTACACCGTCATCAGGCTCGACATTTGACTACTGATGATCTTCTCTTTACTTTTTCTCTGATATTGTGTCGTGGCCAGAAAGCTGCATACGCAATTAAAATTTGATGCAAAAAAATATGTCTACAATTTTGCAAAGATGGTCTGTCTGACTTTTTTTAATGAATAGCGTGCCCGGGACACCAGTGGAGCCTTGGAGCCCCTACTTTGGTGGGAACTTAGAGGACTAGTGGCTGTCGGTCGCGATTTTAATTTCGTGTCATAGTATGGGTAGTCGCTAATGACACGTCAGTATGGTAGCAGTAGGTAAATTATGGAATGGGCATTAGCCCATAATATGAACCTAGTCAGCATTATTGAAGAGCCAACGCACAGGGATGGCAACGTTTTGAATGTAACCTGGAGCAAGACGGCCGCAGTAGCATAAGTTTGCGCATGTTACCATTGCACCTTGGATCAAACTAAAATCGAGGGTACCGTCCTGAACCCTACGATGTCAGATCTCATCGGAATTATAAGAATTTCCGTGTCAGCGACGTCAGTATCAAGTAATTAGGCCCATGTATTAGCCAATGAACTAAACCTGGCCCTTTTGATAGTATCAAGGACATCGAAAATTTCACAATAGATCTGCTACAAGCACTTGGAGATTCACTGAAGATTGCGGGGAAAGATCCAGCCATTGAAAGCAGAAAAACCGGGCTCTAGAGGAGCGATGAATGATGCATAAAATTGCATGATTATCAGGCAGCTAAAAAGCCTGAAACTTGTAACTTAGGCCAGCAAAAGCTTTATAGCAGTGGTGAGAAAAACCAAGCGGGAGTCTTCGGAGGGGCAAGCAGAGATACATTCAACAGACATGCTGATATTTAAGCTATTGAGATGGGCTAAGCCTCGACCAGCATCTAAGCTCCCTTATTTGTAAATGACGAAAACCAGTGGCTATCAGACCCACGAGAGCGAGCTAGTGCGCTATGAGACATTCTCATAGCAAGATTTAGCAGCGAGAACGACATATCAACCTGGGAGGGAGGTCGAAGACTGAACACCTGTCAGTGGTGTTCTCTACGAACCTGGGAGTGAAATATTCTCCCAGAGCCGAGATTCTGTCACGAAAAAGGGTGGGATGAATCTTATTTGATGGATTTTCGACTTGAAGGAGTTGCACTGGATATTTTGGTCGAAAAATCAGTCGGCAGAGATTTCACAACCGCAAAATAGTCGAACAAAAACTTATCACCACCAACATACGATTCATGAATGGGCCTAGGTCTATCTAGGGGTCGTATTGAAACATTCAAACATTCAACATCTCTCAAACTCCTTATGTATTTGCGACGAAACATTTGTCAGTCGATTCTACACCTGCGACCCATCTCCATACTCGTCACATTACTTACCTACACACGCCCTAATGAGGAAAGGCATGATAGAAACTGGACGAGTACAAAGGAGTAAGAAAAGGGAAGATACACCGAGGGGATTACACAAATCCCCAATGACGACAACGACCTAACGGTACGATATGAAGGTGCAAGGCTAGAGCAACGATGAGATCTGGGACTACTTGTATATTTAGGAGTGAGTGAGGATGGCAAGGGCTCGGGCACATGATGGCCGAGGCTGAGGAGGAATTTGCGCTTTAGCGTATAAACACCAAGTTTCTTGACGGTCAGGCTCAGTATGATTTAACACATAGGTGAAGTCTAAGGCGGTACAGTCATTTAAATGGGTCCAAGGCACCTTGTACGTCCAGAGTGAGGAATTTTGCCGCCCATCCCTGAGTGCGCGCTTCCTCGATATCGTGCACCATACATGAGACTAAATATATTGCTGAGCGCCGTGAGAGCACGCAAAATTTTTGCAGGCAAACCACATTATAGTTCACTGCCAGGTGCGTTATTAGCTTTTCCAGCCTCTTTCCAAGACTTTAGAGGAGGGCCATTGGAATCCAACCTTTGACAGTTGTTGGTTTCCTTTTAGGCTCCTGTGAAAAATATTTTAAGACAACTTTAAACAGGACGGGCGCATACTGAGCTGTT